ATATATGTATGTATATCACTGTAGTATGATGCTTTTAATTCTTTTGGGAAGATACTCATCAGGGAAATACCTGGGTCAAATGGGACTTTGAATCCTAGTGTTTTGAGGTATCTCCAAACTGATTTCCTCAGTGGTTGCACCAGTCTATACTCCCACCAACAGTGCAGAGGATTCCTTTTTCCCCCCACAATCCTGCCAGCATTCATTATTGGTTGATTTTTCTGGGTGGGGGGTTTGAGAAGGGTCTCACTATGTAGTTGTGAGGTCACTGTGCAGCCCAGGCTGTTCTTAAACTCACAGTGATCCTCCTGCATCAGCCTCTACAGTGCTGGGATTACAGGTGTGCACCACCACGCCTGGCTCTGGTTGATCTTTTTGATAGTAACCAGGAACTGAATTTTCAATCAGTATGGATGAGTTTAGGTCCATGTGTCCTACTATCCAGTTAACAGTTCATTGGTTTATATGACATTCTTTCTCTATTCAGCTATACATGCTTCAACAATGTAGTTATTTATATTTTACAATGTGCATCTTATTATAGTAAGCAGCATTATAATAATGAAAATATAATCTTGCATCAATGTAACATAATAACAAGTTTTTCTATACTTTTAACAAGAATTCCATTAGTAGAAATATAATTCTGTCTATATTATAAAAGCCTAGAACTTTTTTTTGTAATTTAGGAGAAATTATCATTTATGTTAAATTTAGAGTAAAATTAAACTTCAGGTAAAATATGAATACTTAATTAATAAAAAGAATGATATAGCAAGTAAGTATCACTATGCAACTAAATTTTCAACAGCAACATATATAGGGATAAAATTGTCTTCTGAAATTGTACATAAATGTAATAGATATAAAATTGTAAATTATTATATACTTTCCTGTACTCTCCAGTTTACTGTACATTAAGTTAATATTTATAGAGAACTGCTAAGTATGGTTTAAAACACTAATTTATTTGTTCTAATCTATTATAATAGTTTTGATCAGTTTTAATTTGATATAATTTAATAAAATAATGCCATACTAAACAAGTCTTTTATTGCTTCAGTTTTGACCACAAGTCTGAAACAGTTTTTAAATATTAGCCATATTAAATAACAGAGAAGTTAATAATTACAAACCATTACCTTCTTAAATATGATTTACTAAGCTTTGCTATGATTGTCAGAATCTATAATCGTGTATTTCTCTAGGATATTTAACTTGTTTTCTTAGTAAAACAAAATCTCCTCCCACTGTGTGGTAGTCACATTTCACCATTAGTAGGTTGAATTGCCTCTGTTAGAGCTCATACTAGATACCAATCACAAATACCCAAAGAGGAATAGATCACCAGAAGAACTGTTCATAGGTTACAGAATGGTAGTGAAGCCATAGACATTGGGGCCTATTCATGCACTATCTGGGCAGAATAATTGGTTGTGGCAGTTAGGATAGAAGTTTAACTTGATTGACTGTGGGATCAGCCCTGGGGATTAGTGAAGCATATTTTTGGGTGTGTCCAAATAATAATGTCATACAAAGGTATGACATTGAAGTCTGTGTCTGGTCCCTCCCCACTTGTGCTCTGGAATGTTTCCTGCTCTGCTACTGGCCAGCACAAGCTAAGCAGCTTTGCTTTGCCACACCCTTCCACTACGATGCCTCTGCTATGGAGCCAGTCAATCATGGACTAAACCTTGAGCAAATTAAACACCTCCTCCTTAAATTGTGCATGTTGCACATCATGTGTCTCAGTTATGAAGACAATGACTAGCACACAATTAATCTACTTTACAGGGGAGTGTGAATGAGTTTCACTCAAAAAACTTGTCTTTGACTACTGTAAAACTCTGGACTATTTATTTCATCCCTTGATACCCATTTCTCAGTGTTATTAGTACCCACCTCACAAGGGGAAATGAAGTAATGCAAGAGTTTCAAATATTTTTTGAGCATATCAAAACAGACACAAATTTAATATTCTTTTAATCTCTCCACATATTTTGTTCCTGTAAATTTTTTCTATTGTTCAATACAATATATAAGCATTAAGCTTTGCCACATCTTTGGATCTTTCATTTTCATACGGAGGCTCTCAGAAAAATGAAAAATATCTTTATGCTTTCCTCCTGTTATTGTCTTATGTCAATTTAATTCCAACAGACGACTTTAAGAGTGTAAAGTTTTGCCAACCATACATAGGCATGTCACCTATGTTCATTAAAAAAAAATGACATGATTTTTTGAGCATTATCACCAAATGTTGTAATAGTAAACGTGGAAATAATTCAAAGTGAGTAGCCAACTTTATTATTGTTCCAACACGTTAGCTTTCTTCAAGTAGGAGGGTATGGAATGCTAATAACTGCCACATGATATCTAGGGACCCCTCTGGATGACAAGTTCTAGTTTTCACTACTTTGGTCCATAGAATTGGAGTAGATATGACACAAGGTATGTCCAAGTAGAATATTAGGGAATATTGTGCATTTCTGCTTGCTCCTTTGCTGTTTTTCCTTTATGTGAAAACTGCCTTCAAAAGTGACTGTTTCTCTAGTTTAGCTTCAGTAATAAGAAGACATAAGACAGTGAATCTTAATCTATGTGTAGCAGCCAATTCCTAAAATGACCAAGAAATTGTTGCTCCATAGGCTGCTGAGATTCAAGGGATGTAGGTTAGTATAATTTTATCCAAGCAAGGCTGGTGACAACTGCAGCTTTGTATAAATTTGTCCCTTATAATACATTTGGTGTATATGAAAAAATAACTGAAATGCATTTTTGTGCATCTCTAGATTCCAAAAGAGTGATCTAGTTGATAAGTAATATGAGTATGCAAAAAACTAGGAAATTTTAAAAGAGTTTTAAATTTCAAAAGAGCAGCTTCTACAGTCAAAACTGTATGATTATTTTGACATAACTGCTATCTCAAAATTATAAAATGATGTTTGGTATTGAAACATTATATTTAAAGATGTTTCAGAGGCTAACAATAAAAAGTCAATAAATTTAAAAAAATTAGATGACAGTCATCAAAAATAGTTACCTTTATGTTTCCCACTGGGTTTCCTCCAAATTCAATAACACCCAGTATGCATTAGAAACAGGTCTTATGAGGAATTTTGTGAGCCATGGGTCAACAAGGAAAGGCAGTGCCTAAATCTCTTGTCTTCTTTGTTTTCTAAGAAAAAGACATCGCCTTACATAAAACCAGAATAAAGAAAATCTACAGGAGAAGAAAGCATAGTCCATCAGTAAAAAAGAAGCTTCTGAGTGGATCTGGCTTGGGGTTCTAGCTAATTGTTTACAAATAGAACTTCTGGAAGCCAGATATGTCATGAGGATTGTGGACCAGCCCCCTCACGGAACTTACATAAAGTACTTCTTAGTGGAAGAATGGGGTTACAGTTCACAGCTGGCTCAGTGTCCAAGAATTTAGATTTAGTTCCTGAAGTCACCACCATACAGTTCTTTATGGTGCTACAAAGGAGGACAAGAAGATTATTAGGAACAAATTCCAAAAATTTCTATTGTATTGAAAGAATGAGTCAATACAGACTTTTAAGTAGTTTAGTAATATAATTTGATTTGTATTGTAGAACGTTAACCTATCAGAAAGGTAGACCAAGATTTGAACCAAGCAGAAACTGCAGTGAGATTAATTTTCAGGTCAGATTCACAACTGAGAAAAAAATGTGCAATGCCAGAAATAAGACAGGGTTTATTCAACATTATCCTCAAAACTTTTTCCTTCTCAAAAACTTTTAAACTTAGAAACAGTTTCAGTCTCTTCTCAGTCTCTCTGACACTATAGTATGAACTACACATGAACTGTGACAGATTGTCAATCTTTGGGCCTTTTTTGTTTGGTTGGTTGGTTGTTGTTTTATTGTAATTTTAGATTGAATACCTTCAGGGAAATATCAATCCTAAAACTCATATGTTTCCTCCAGAATGTCTAGCATATATTATTTTTCATGAAAGTTAATTATTATAGCTTTATTAAACGGGGATGTAAAACATAGCAAGTAGATGGTATTTGTAGAATCTGATTCTTGGGCCACATTAAAGGCTTAGGAAATTAATGTACTATACAAATGAATGTTGCACAGATTAGAAGAGCTAGACAGCAGAAACCCAGCCTGAATACTAATCCATGCAGCCATTTTTGTTCCCTACCCTGTGTTTATTGCAAATTTTTTCTATAAAATTATATTTTTCTGTAAAATTATATTTTAATCCAACTACTTGAAAAGAAAATTGCTTCTTTGGAATGAGAAGAACTTCCTTTCTAAGTCACATGAACACAATGAATGACCGGATGAGCATAAAGAGGTGTGGAGTGCTGCTTCTGTGAGGTGAGGGGAAAGATGAGAGAGAGAGGAGAGGGGGAGAGACAAGGAGGGGAGAAGGGAGCATCTGAGAAATAGAAAGCGATATAAATATTCTCTCAAAAAAATTCTTGAGAGAGAAGGAGTTAGAGAAAATATGGGGAGAGGAACATTTCAAGATTTTGAAGTTACATAGGGATAAATTGTTTTTATAATAATAATTTTCTTTGCACAACTATTCTTTTTGCAATGTTAATCATAGTTGACATTTACTGAGAATTTATTATATTTAGTGTTAAACACATTTAATGCATTATCTCATTTAAGCATTTTTAGATCATTGCATTGCAGGTTCTTTTACCGTCCTTAGGCTGCACATGGAAAATATAAATTTTACATGATATTTCTCAGGATCACATTGAAGTTAATGGCATAACCAGGATTCAAAGTGAGGTTTAATTATTATCCTATAATGGCGTTTCATTTCAGAATGTGTGGAATAAGGATTTCATAATTATAGGTCATTTAGAAAGAAAAATATTGATAAATTTTCTAGAGAATATAAATGTTAACTTACTGATGCAAAATAGAATTTGTTGATATTATAGCAATTTCAAACACAATTATTTCACTTATTTTAATGTCAGAAAAGAGTAAAAACCTAAATATAGAAAGTAATAGAACATGTACGAATTCCCTACATATTGGTTGTGATCCATAAAATATCTCTATAAGTTCTTCATAAAACATTTTATAGCACAGATATATACCCATGAACCTTGAAGCCATTGAAAGGTTCAAGGTGGTCTTAATGGCATTTTAGAGAAATACCAAGAATGAGCGCATCTTCAGGGATTTAGCTCAGTGGTGCTGACACCTGCCTCACAAGAACCCTATTTCGATCTCTGCCCCCCACCCAAAAATAAGTAAAAGAATGAGGAGGAGGGGGTGAAGGGAGGGTAGGGACAAGAGGAAAAATGAGAACTAAGACCTGTCAAGATCCCAGTAATGAATGTAACTATACTGTATACCTAGAATGTACCAATAAACTCGAAATAAATAAATAAATAAATAAATAAATAAATAAAAATAAATAAGCAAATGCACTAAATTTGTCTTGGATGGTAAGAAGGAAAGATGATAAATGAAAGGAATGTGCTGGGATGCACCATTCTAAAATCATTGTAAAATCTATTTCCTAAGCCCACTTGTAATATAGTATGTATGATCCATTTACTTGATGCTAAAATTATTTTCAAACTTTTACTCAAAAACTTTAACAAAAGTTTTCAGGAAGGTTAATTTATCTTTACAGCCAATCTACTAAATCTTTGTCAAATTTGCAAATCAAAACTTCATAAATAAATGTAATTTTGCCTCCTACCTTGTCTTTAGTGCAGAATATACTCTAATGGACAATGACATTTTAGCCCAGTTCTTTGGAAAAATTGTAATTTTTAGGTAAGAAGAATATCATAAATAATATGTCCCATCTGTAGAACCACACATATGCATAGTTTATCAGAAAAGAATTCAGCATCCATTAGTCGATTGACTGTGACAGGAACTTCTTCCATAGACATGCTCTTCATTTGACAAAGAAAAATACATTTACTGCAAATCACATGGGTACTGCAATTAGAGAGATCTAGCTTCTATCACACATACTTCCCTTATTATCTGTAGGGAATTTTGTCAGATGATGCCTTACTGTTCTCAAGATGCATGAAATTGTTTAATTTTATGTTAAATGAATATAGCAATACTTCTTTGACAGCAATTGTAAAAAGGTATCTAAAACATAATCCCCAGCTGATGAGACCTCCTGGATCACTGCTTGGCCTTTTGGACAAGTGAAGAAATCTCTTGGAAAACTACACTGTTAAACATTAGATTACAAAATTAAAATGTTATTTTTCTTCCTCTTCTATTTTTCTTCATTTTTAAAAATAAGATTTTACTATAAAATTGTATGTGTACTTAAAGTCATGGTGCTGAGGAGAAAAGTCATAAAACCTATCCTTTATGGACTACATACTTGATACTAGTTTATGTCATTCTATCGTTCACTCTTCATACCACTGGAGTAACATGGGTGCTATCATTCCCAATTTACAGATGAAAATTGTGCCTCAAAGGACTGACTTTTCTAAGAACAAATTTTTATTTAATGGAAAAAATATAATTCAAATGTCTTTCTGAGTCTAAATTCTGAGCATACATCCCTTGTTTTTTCCCATTAAGTTTTTTTTGGTACATTAAAGCAAACAATACAGTTACATTTATCGTTGGGATCTTGTACCTTTACATGATATATCCTGGTTCTTCTACATCCCTTATTTTTGATCTGATAAAGTTGTGGCTACAAATTACAAGGAGATTTCCTTATATGGGAACAGCAACATTTAACATAGACTTTGGAAAAACTAAGAAATACAAACAAGTGCAAATGTAATTACTGTCTGCATGAACTATTGTATTTATTGTGCTCTCCAGTGCTCAAAAACATTTTACAGTGAAACCTACCATAACTCACAATAATATGTGAAATGCTTTTTTTTGGGGGGGGGTACTAGGGATTGAACTTGGGTCCTTGTGCTTTCAAGGCAGGCCACCAAACCACTGAGCTAAATCCCCGGCCCTGATATGTGAAATTCTAAAGAGAATATGGCATGTATTGTCAAAGCCTAGTATTGTTATTTTAGGTGCAAAGACATGCATGGCTTCAATTTATATTTTGACATTTATATGGCAAGAGAGCCTCAGGGTTCTTACTCCAACTGGGGCAAACATGGACAGAATATTATCATTGCCACTTGCCATTCCAGATAATCAGACTATTATCAATAGCTGGAAAGTCCATGAAAAATATGCCAATGAAACCAGAAAATCCAGTTCCAAAATGAATGGACAATCATGCTGCACTTTCAGATGCATCATTTACTAGAGACATTCTGTTTAAAGAAATAAGAGGAGCCATTCCACAGAACTCCATCAAGTGATCAGTGCTTGTACTGTTTGTGAATGATACAAACTTCTATGGCTGCTCATCCAGTTAAACTCCAGGGTTGCTATGTTGTCAAGTTGTTTAGGAGAGGAGAAATCTCTTCCAGTACTGTGGCATTTGATGAGGAACTGAGGCGTATACCTTTCTGCAAGAGAGCTATATGCAAAAAGGCCCAGGTTTGGCTCTCTCCTGAGATAAGGCCTTAGTTGAGGGAAACTTCTTTTGTCATCAAAATCACAATGAGCAGCAGGGTACAGAAGACCATGTGCTCAGAGTCTGCTAAGCCTCCTTTCCAAGGAATTCCAACATGGAGTGAGCAATTGCTAGTCTAATGCTGTATAATGCAGGACCACCATAATATTTCCTTAAAGTAGGCTTTTTTTTTTTTTTTGAGACAGGGTCTCATTATGTAGTTGGGACTGACCTGAAACTCACTATGTAGCCCAGGCTGGTTCCAAACTCACAGTGATCCTCCTGCCTCAGCCTCCTGAGTGCTGGGATTACAGGCGTGCGCCACCAAGTCTGGCTTCCTTACAGTAGTCCTACTGTCATTGTTGCTTCTTGTTTATTTGGTTAGGGTGTCAGAGGAACTACTCAGTTAATGTATTTCCTCCACACTATGCAACCTCTGATGCCATTCAAAGGACACAGCTTTGGGAATGTTCACAGCTTTTCTGACCCTCAAACATGGTTGTGGTTTTAGCTGTGCTTTCTTAAATTGCCTATTTTCTATTCTTCACATCCTGACTTATCATCTATTAATATCATTTAGGGTTGTGACTCGTTGGTTTTGACAGCTCTCAAGAACATGAATTGCTCCATAGTTTTGTCCTTTTTGTTGTTGTTGTTTGTTTTATTTTTTGATACCAGGGTTCAAACTTGGGACTACACCTGTGAGGCAGGCGTCGGAACCACTGCGCTAAATTCCCAGCCCTCCATAGTTTAAACCAACTTAAGTGAGGTGCCTTTTCAGAGACAGAATGATCTACCTCTGACCTATTTAGCCAAACTTCTGCATTAAGGGCCGAACTACACTTCATGAATACAAGGGTGAACTGCTCTATACTGTCCTGTCATGTGGATCTTTCCTATGGAGCAGGATTATGGGGGAGGGATCAGCTTGTGGATGCAAATCGGTGGAA